CTTATGCCATGGAAATCATTCATTCTTGAGCATTACTTTGTCAATATGTTACTGCAAAGGAAGATTATGAGCTCAAACTTAAGCTCTTCTCTTTAATCTCCCAGCATTTTCAATTCCGTCAAGCTTTCATCCTGAACCTTAAAAAAGACTACTAAAATCATACAAAAACAACTAAAAGCCTGCTATGAATTCACTGTCTCCATGGAAATGCTAGAGATAGATGCTGTGTTGATGTCTTCACATATCTCTTAGACTATTTTGTTAATGCCTTTTATGTATGGTACTTGGCAGTTTACAAAGCCTTTTCTCGCTTATTATCTCAGTTAATCCTCACAGCAAACCCACATGGAAAGTATTACCCTCATTTAGCATATTATAAAACTGAAGTTTGGAGAAGATAAGTAGCTTAGCCAAGCTTTAAACCATTTGTAAATGGTAAAATCAATATTTGAATATCAGTTTGTCTAATGCCAACACCCCTGTTCTTGGCACTATACCCCAAACATCATAGCCTAGAGAAATGGGTTACCTGGATATATTAGTGCCCTTCCTTATCCTGTAAAAATTCACCTCATGGTCCACATCTCTTGGAGGCACTTTGCACTGTTGATACAGAGCCCAAGGAAAGCATCTACAGCAAGGAATTAGCAAATTATGGTTACAGTTCCAGCTTTACTACTAAATTGAGTGACCTTGTTCTGATCACTTTTTCATAGATAAATAGAAATAATTACTGCCCATTCTCTCCCTTTATCTCCTCTACCAACACTACTCTAGATGAAATACAATAAGCTTCCTAAAGCCGGGAGCATCATAAAACTTTGAAAATGAATGACTTAGCACATACTCAAAGCACATGGTGATTTCCAGTGATTTGAGGATGTTGGCAAAGAAGGTTTTTTTTAACTCCTCCTTAATTTTTCCCAACTAGTATTGTCAGTTCCCCATATATATTTAAGTCAAGAGAGCCTTCACCAGAAACCAATCCCACCAGTCCTTCATCTGGAGCTTCTAATTTCCAGATTTATGAGAAAATAAGTTTACATTGTCCAGGACACTCAGTCTATGGTATTTTTGTTATGGAATCCATGCAAACTAAGACACAGTATAAATGTAAATCTGTTTCTCTTATTATTTTCTAATTTTCCAGACATACATTATTCATCTCACCTTTATCCGGATATTGGACAGGAACAATAATTTCAAGAATACATGTATTTTATTCTAAATATGTGAACTACCCACAGGGTGTCTTAACCTTAAAATACAGTTATGTTTCACTGCTGTAGGGTAAAAATATATTATTTTAACCCACTAGGTTTTTTTATGTTTGTTTTTTAATATTTTTTAGTTGTTGGTGGACCTTTATTTATTTATTTATATATGGTGCTGAGAATCGAACCCAGTGCCTCACACATGCCAGGCAAGTGTGCTACCTCTGAGCCCCAGCCCCAGCTCCTAACCCACTAGTTTTTAAGATGACATGCAATGTAGTTTTTGTGCTCACATTGAGTTTATTTGTTCATCTATTTATTCATCCTTTCACTACACTTTAAACTGATAAAAGAGAGAATATGTGCATTTTGCTTACTCAAAAAATTTGTAACAGAACCTCAACTTAAATCAGTTTAAACAAAGAAAAAATCTTATTTGCTCACATAATTTCCCAGTCTAAGGTTAGGTTGTTGATATGGTAGAATTGAGTGGGCATCCTAAAAGAGAAATCATGGGGATAGGGATGTAGCTCAGTGGTAGAACATTGGCTAGTATGTGTGGAGGCCTGGGTTTAATCCCTAGTACCATACAATGAAGGAAAAAAAGAAAGAAATAGAGGGATGAGGGAGAGAAGGAAGAGAAAGAGGAGGAAGAGGAGAAAGAAGGAGAAGAAGAAGGAAAAGACAGCCTCTTCATTACTTAGTCTTACTCAGAGGAAACTCTATGTTGGCTTCTTTCTTAGGCAGGCTCCCCATTGATAACAACAAAGATATTTCTAAGCAGCAATGGGTTTTTATTCACAGCTATTATTTCAACAAATAAGATGCTCCTTTCCAAATATATCCTGCAAAGGGGCTAGGGAACAATACAATTGACTTTGCTAAGGTCATGTGTTTATACTTAATCCAATAACTTACCTTAGTCCAGGAGAACAAGGTCGTCAGACATTGGTTAGACACAGGACTATGTCCATTTCAGGAGCTGAAAGTAAAGTCAGCTCTTCCTAAACACAGGCACAAAACATGGAAAATGCAGTTTCTTGTGGAAAAACTAGACTAGAGGGCCAAGGGCGCAGAAAACTAAGAAATTTATTCCCACTCTATTGGACATCCCTACTTATGTCCATTCCCATTACTTACCACAGCCTGTTGAAGTGAAAAAGCATTCAAATCTAAAATCAAGTTCTCCTGAGTTAAAGCTTAAAGAAAGTCCTCTTTGATGTCTTGTTCCGATCATTCTCAGCTAGAGTCTATCAGCACCTGTGATCTGAGAGATTTCTCACGGGAACTGGGGTAGTTATCCCAGGTAAAATATGTTCCTCCCAGAACACAGCATTTGTTAAGTTTTGGTAATATTTGAAATAGGAAGATAAGATGGATTTACCTCACCAGGATGCCAGGAAGTCTATGCAATGGTCCAGAATCCATGGTCTCTAAACTTAGGCAGAAATTATCTTCCCACGGGATATTCATTGAGGCACTATGCATCTGGAGTGAAGAACCCCCTACACAAATTGTCTCTGTTCCTACTGAATACATTTGAGATATTACAGCCTTCTGGCAAAGGTCTAAAGTTGCAGCAAACCCAACCCAAGCACTGGCTTTAAGCTGAGAATTCTTTCTTTCTTCATCCTGTGAATTCTAATGACTGCTTTCCCTAGTACTTCAGCGCTACATCGATGGCAAGTTCTGTGTGGGGAAAACCTTTGCTGTATCTTGAGGGCAGGCAGTCACTTTTCAGTTTCCTATTTTAGTGGCTACTGCCACTTCTCTGTTTGAAGGTCTGCTTATGACTAAGATGCTTTCTTCTAAAGAAATGAGTTTCCCTTTCTCTACTTTATTTCATCAGGAAGTTCTCTTTTCAGATTCCCAAACTGAAGATGCTTTTGATGCTTTTTAATGCCATGTTCCTAAAGGAGACCAGCACCACACATGGTTCTCATGATGACATTATTCCTAGCTCTCCTCTGCTTTTAAATTCTGAAAAGTTCTCAAGACATGTTTCTTCAAGGCACTGGCAACACCTACTTCTTACCTTCTGTCTTATGTTGAAACTCAGAAACTCTTTAATATTTTTGCTTTTGAACATATGAATTCAAGACTCATTACCTACTTCCTCCTTACCAATACCTAGATTTTTAAATATTCCTATCTCTTCCCTTCCACAGAGCCCTTGGGTTTCCAGGACACTTAATATATCCTCGAATTCTGGGAAGGGTCCAGTTTGGTTTAAACCAGGCTGCACAATCCATTTCTCCAGCAAAAAAAAAAAAAAAATAGTAATGGGAATGTGACCTAAATTTGTTTAGTTAGGACAAATTTCAGAACTTTTTCTCACAAAAGTAAAAAAAGTATGTTTTCTCCCTCCACTGGTCATGGAAACAGGAGCATGTGTCTGGCAACCATCCAATAACTGTAAAGGAAGGACATGATAGAACTTGTATGAAAAAAGCAATGGATGTCTCTTATCACAGTATCATCTTGGATATCACCTTTACTTCAAAGAATAATTGGCCAAACTAATTGAGGAACTTCTCTGATAATACAGTTCTGAGCTTAAGGCATATTTATTTCTCTCTCACTCACTCTCTCTCCTCACTGGTGGAAAAGTACTATCCCAGGACGGTGGATTTTATTTTTCAAACACCTAGAAATTACTCAGATTCAAGAGTAAATGAGTAGGTGACCATCTTGAATAATATGTTTTTTAAAATATTTATTTAGTTGTATATGAACACAGAGTATCTTTATTTTTATGTGTTGCTGGGGTTTGAACACAGTGCCTCACACATGCAAGGCAAGCACTACACCAGAGAGCTAAAGCCTCAGCCCTTTTTTTTTTTTTTAAGGAAAAACTTTTTACTTATGAATGGTTTTCCTGTTACTAAACTATTTGTCCTTGTTGCAGTATCTTTTTGAGCAAATATAAACCACTTTTAGTTTCAAGAAGAAAATGTTCTTGTGTCCTAGTGAGCTCCAGCTTTTCTATGATATTCTTAATATTTAAATTCTAAAAGAATCTCAAAGTATCTAATTCTTAGAAAAATATATAATAAAACCAAAACTTTAAGCACCTGAACATTGCATCTCAAGGCTAAAACCCAAGTTTCCCTTGACAAATTGCCAACGTGACCATGAACACCTGCATGTGCACATGACATCATAATGAAGACTTGTGAAGAGGGTGTTTCAAAGTGGAAAGTATTCTTTGCTTAGTCTGGTGCGTTCAGACAGTGGAACAGGCTAGAAGGCAGATGGCTGCATATCTGTGTGGCCTCCCACATGCCTTAACACACGTTCAAAGTTCCTATTTTATAGAAGTAACTGTCACTACTTCCTTTTCTCTCAAAAACTCCCTTATTATTCATTCTAACAGAGGAGATAAATCTTGGCAAAAATCATTTCCATTTAAGTTATCCAAGAAATGCTATTCCCATACCAATCTAAAGATGACAAATTCGTCCCTATTTTTTTAAATACCTCCAGTAAAGAAGTCTTCATTAGTAAACTATTTCAGATTCCAGGATTCTAAAAACGATTTTTCTGTCATAACAAACAATTATACAATTATTTTGAGGACTATGTTAAGATATAGAACATACCTTATTCAATGTTTTAAAGAAGGATGATCCCTTGAGAGACTTTTATAAGCAAACAGATAGGATGTAAGAAAATCAGATTCTTTAAAAACGTACAAAGTGCTGGGCATGATGGTGACACTAAATGAGGCCTCAGATATAACACAGGAAGCAGAAAGTTTATCTACCAAATAAATAAGACAATGAGTCATCAAAACCACAAGCCATTTTATTTATCAAGGATGTCAGTTAAAATCTATTTCCCCATGAAAAAGAGAAATACATTGAAGGGAGAGGCAAAGAATTAAAGAGTGGTATCATGATTCCTAACAGCAAGGACAATGACACAGCAGTGATTATTCAGGGAAACAAGGAAGCTTGGAGCAGGACATATCTGAAGGCCACCAGGAGAGGTAGAAATTAGAAACAGAAAACCAGAGGTAGAACAAAAGGTGCATGCAGAAAATATAACTGCAGAGGGACTTAATAGTAAGACGTAGGTCTAAATCCAAGTTCCAGATTAAAAAGATATAAAACTAGAATCCTAAAATAAAATATTCTAAGTCTAATCATGTAATGTCTCGATGTCCCCTTATTTACTCATCACCTTTACATTCTCTATAAGCCTATTTAAGCAAAAAGTCAGTAACAGCAAATGTACTCTCTCATCTTGGTTTACATTTTCTAGGCCGTTTGACGAAGTTGTAGATTGGTTGAGATCAGAGTGAGAAGAGCTTATTGAAGCAGGATTTGCAATAGGTCTTGTCATTCTGCTCCCTGAAGATGCCCTTTGACAACTGTGTCAGGCAGAATGCACACACAAAGTGCTCAGGGTGGAATTTATGACCCATGGCACTGATGCAGCGACCAGTGATGGGCTGCCCACATCCATGGCAGAGGGTTCCTCGGCGGTTATGATAGTGGAGCTCACAGAATGGATGTCCATCCAGTTCAAAGAAGGAGCCAGTAGAAAAACTGCTGAAGCAGTCCTAGAGGTGGAAAAAGGGCAGAAAAGGAATGCATGTGTCAAGAGGTGAAATATCAGCAAAGTAAAATATTCAGATTTGAAATTCCTGTCAAGTTATCTCCTAATTGTGGTAATTTAACTCCAGGTCATTTACAAATTGAGTTTAGATTGCCCCACTTGCAAAATAGATTCAAATGGCTCACAGCACATGCTGTGATTTATTTATCCTTCAGGAAGCCCACATGAATTCCTCAACTAAGACCATGAACCTTTTACAAGTTGTAGCTCTTCTGAGAGAAGAGAACCCTAGATTTCATCTAAATCCAAAAGACAATGGAAAATACACACCCCGCACACAAAGCATTCTGGGTGCCAGACATTGTCCATAGCTGAAAGGTAGTTTTCCAACACTGGGCGGTTGCAACCACCACACTTGGGTGAAAACATGGCTAAGAAATCTTTTCTGCAATATGGCTTCTTGTCCTTCTCATGAAAGCCTGCAGAGATAAAATCAAAGATTCACAGTTGTAAATTTGAGCCCTGAAAGCTAAGTCAGAAGCAGAGATGAAGTCAATGACCTAACCTCTCCCAATCTCAGTGTCCTCATATCAAAACAGGGTAATTACAAATATCTTCAAAGGGTTCCTGGAAAAAATAAACAAGACAATGCAGATAAAGTGTTTCAGAGTTGTGCTTGGATCACAGGAAGCATTTAACAAGTGTTAAGGGCTGTTTCTCCTCACTGCCTTTGTCCTGAGTATCCTTCACTCTGAACAGTTTTGCCCCAGATGAGATACAGCTGACTTCTTCTTACCACTCAGGAATCAACTCAAATGTCATCTTATCAGGAAGGAATGTCTTCAGTTTCTCTTTATCACTTCATCTTTTTTCATTGTTCTTAAGACATTTACCATTATCTGAAAGCATCTGCCATCCCTCACTAAACATTAGCTCTCAGAGAAACAAGATATTGTTGATCTTGTCTCCATTATATCCCCAAAATATAAAATGACATTTAAAAAAGTGCTTAATATTTTAAGATAAAATACTACAAAATAATAATTTTTAAATGAATGCAAGATCTCAATATAATAATTCAAACCACACAAATACTTAAATTAAAGTGGATTGGTTTCTCTTTAATCTGGAAATAGGCTCAAATATTTGAAAAGCAGGCTAAAGATAAATATATTTGACATAAAAACATATGAATGAATGACTTATGAATGTTGGAAAAACATCAAAACAATGTCTAAGAGAAAGAACAATGTGAAGAGAAATATTTGCTAATTATATCCTAGAAAAACAAGGCTAATATAAGAAGCTCCTAAATGTACATATGATTTGGATTATTGTATCAAATTGAAAAGTGAAAAATTGCCAGGTATTGTGGCACAGACCTATAATGCTAGAGATTCTGGAAGCTGAGGCTGAAGCATTACAAATTTGAAACCAGCCTCAGTAACCTAGTGATACCCTGTCTCAAAAAATTAAAAGGGCTCAGAATGTAGCTCAGGGGTAGAACATCCTGAGTTCAATCCCCAGTACCAAAAAAAAACAAACCAAAAAAACAAACAAAACATTGCTTTGAAAAAGTGAAAAATATCCCTAAAAAGTAAGTCAAGTTGAAACAAATTAAATGTATACACAGCAGATAATATGACCAAAGAAAAGAAAATGATTCATTCAAATGACTTTAAAACAGTATTTTGACCATATAGTCCTAATGGGTGTACATTAAAAAAAATGAACTACAAAGAAATATTAAATTGCTATTATGCACACTGAAATTTTGCTAATAGAGTAGATTTTTTAAAATGTTTTTACCACATACCAAGAAAGGGGTAACTATGCAGGAGAATAAATAGGTTAACTTGCTAGGCTATTTTACTATGTATATCAAACATCCCATGCTGCTTTATGAAGATAGTGTATCATGATCAAGTGGGTTTCTTTAAAGGGATGCAAGGTTGGTTGAACATACACAAATCAATAAATTAAATTCACCACATAAATACACTTACGGACAATAATCACATGATTATTTCAACAGGTGCAAAAAAAATGCTTTTTGATAAAACGCAATACTCATTTATGTTTAAAGCAATACAGAAACTAGGGATAGGGCTGGGGATGTGGCTCAAGCGGTAGCACGCTCGCCTGGCATGCGTGCGGCCCGGGTTCGATCCTCAGCACCACATACAAACAAAGATGTTGTGTCCACTGAAAACTAAAAAAATAAAATAAATATTAAAAAAAAAAAAAAAAGAAACTAGGGATAAAAGGAACTTAGCTCAACAATTTAAAAGCTATATGTGACAAACCCAAAGCCAATATCATACTGAATGGAGAAAAACTGAAAGCATTTCCTCTTGAAACAGGAACAAGAAAAGGATACCTACTTTCACATCTAGTCAACATTGTCCTTGAAACTCTAGCCAGATCAGGTGAGAAAAGAAAATCAACAAACATAAATCAATCACTTTCTTATATTCCAATAATGAACTTGTTGAAAAAGAAATTAGGAAAACTATTCTATTCACAATGACCTAAAAAAAAATAAAATATTTGGGAATTAATCTAAGGAAGGATGTCAAGGACCTCTACAATGAAAACTATAGAACACTGAAGAAAGAAATTGAAGAACACCTTAGAAGACAGAAATACCTCCCATGTTCTTGGGTAGGCAGAATTAATATTAATAAAATATCAATATTATTAATATGGCCATACTACCAAAATCATTATGCAGGTTCAATGCAATTTCCATCAAAATACCAATGACATTGTTCACAGAACTAGAAAAAGTAATCCTAAAACTCATTTGGAAAAATAAGAGTCTCAGAATAGTCAAAGCAACCTGAGCAAAAAGAGTAATGCTGTAGGCATCACAATACCAGACCTCAAAATATACTGCAGAGCTATAGTAACAAAAACAGCATGGTCTGGGCACCAGATATGAAGACCAATGGAACAGAATAGAAGACACAGAGAAAAACCCACATATATCAGATAACCCAATTATCTGATACTAGACACAGGTGCCAAAAACATTCATTGGAGAAAAGATAGCCTTTTCAACAAATGGTGCTGAGAAAACTAAAATCCATAGGTAAAAGGATGAAACTTAACCCCTCTCTCTCTCTCACTCTGCACAAAAGTAAACTCAAAGTGAATCAAAGACCTAGGAATTAGACCAGAAACCCTGAAACTCCTAGAAGAAAATGTAGATCCACCTCTCCAATACATTGGCAAAGGAATAAACTTCCTTAACAAGACTACAAGGGAGAAGATCTTTGCCATCTGCTCCTCAGATAGGGCATTAACACTCAGTATATATAAAAAATACACAAAACACCAAAAAAATCCAAATAACCTAATTAATAAATGGACAAAAGAACTAAACAGACATTTCTCAAAAGAAGAAATACAACTGGCCAACAAGTGCATGAAAAAAAATGTTCAACATCTCTAGCAATCAGGAAAATGCAAATCAAAATAACATTGAGATTTCATCTCACCTCAGAATGGCAATTATCATGAATACATAATAAGTGTTGGCAAGGATGTGGGGAAAAAGGTACACTGATACATTGTTGATAGGACTGCAAATTAGTATAACCACTCTGAAAAGCAGTATGGAGATTTCTCAAAAAACTAGGAATGGAACCACCATATCATCTGGCTATTCCACTCCTTGGTATATATCCAAAAGAACTAAAATCAGTATACTCTAGGGATACAGCCACATTAAATATTGGCACAATTCACAATAGCCAAGCTACGAAATTAACCAAGGTTCCCTTCCACAGATGAATGAATTTAAGAAAATTTATACACAATGGAGTAATATTCAGCCATAAAGAAGAATGAAATTATGTCATTTTAAGGCAAGTGGATGGAACTAGAGCAGACCATGCTAAGTGATATAAGCCAGACTCAGAAAGCCAAAGGTTGAACGTTTTCTCTGATATGTGGAAGCTGGTCCAAAATAAGGTTAGGGAAAAGAGAGAAAGGGAAAAGGCATGGGAGGGGTAATTCCATCAAAATAGCAGACTGGAGGGCTAGATGAAGGGGACTGGAGGAGGCATTAAATAAAGAGGACTGGGATGGCATTAAATAATCACACAGACATAGAAAGTACCTTTTTCTTGGGATTCAGTGACAGATTCTCTGCCCCAGCTCCCACAAGGGAGGCAAGGGAGGCTGGCAAAAAATAAAAAATAAAATAAAAAAAAAATAAAAGAGAGAGCATGCCTGAAACCATCCTATTTACTTTGGGGAAAGACATTTGAGAAAGTTCAACCCAAATAAGGCAAGGGATTGGGTTTCAGGGGGTTGCTTGGTGATGTCTTGTGGTTAGCAGATTGACTGACATCTTATAAGGTCACACCCATCTCAGGTGCTGTGTGGGATCAAAGGCAGAGCAAGAGAAAAGGACACATCTATGGCATAGCCCAGTCAGAGAAGCAACATCTTCATGTGCTCAAATGCTCATGGCTCACACACACAGCCCATGGCTGGCTCACAACAAGGCACACTATAACTTAAGAATCCATAAATCTGAATAAATGTAAAATATTTGTAAGAAAAAAATTATGTTGCTTATTTAAGTTAACAGAATAAGTTACATCTGAAATTTTCTGTGAGGTCTTTATATTGTCTTTACATTTAAGAACTCAAAAAATTAAACAATAAGAAAACAAATAACCCAATCAACAAATGGGCCAAAGACCTGAACAGACACTTCTCAGAGGAGGACATACAATCAATCAACAAGTACATGAAAAAATGCTCACCATCTCTAGCAGTCAGAGAAATGCAAATCAAAACCACCCTAAGATACCATCTCACTCCAGTAAGATTGGCAGCCATTATGAAGTCAAACAACAACAAGTGCTGGAGAGGATGTGGGGAAAAGGGTACTCTTGTACATTGCTGGTGGGACTGCAAACTGGTGCGGCCAATCTGGAAAACAGTATGGAGACTCCTGGGAAAGCTGGGAATGGAACCACCATTTGACCCAGCTATTGCCCTTCTTGGACTTTTCCCTGAAGACCTTAAAAGAGCGTACTACAGGGATACTGCTACATCGATGTTCATAGCAGCACAATTCACAATTGCTAGACTGTGGAACCAACCCAGATGCCCTTCAATAGATGAATGGATAAAAAAAATGTGGCATTTATACACCATGGAGTATTACGCAGCACTAAAAAATGACAAAATCATAGAATTTGCAGGGAAATGGATGGCACTAGAGCAGATTATGCTTAGTGAAGCTAGCCAATCCCTAAAAAACAAATACCAAATGTCTTCTTTGATATAATGAGAGCAACTAAGAACAGAGCAGGGAGGAAGAGCAGGAAGAAAAGATTAACATTAAACAGATACATGAGGTGGGATGGAAAGGGAGAGAAAAGGGAAATTGCATGGTAATGGAGGGAGACCCTCATTGTTATACAAAATTACATATAAGAGGTTGTGAGGGGAATGG